TCTGTCAAACTTTGTCTGTATTACATTAGGCAAAACTAAAAAAGGCTAGAAGCAGATCATTATTACTCTTGCCTGCCTCTCCTGCAAAACAACCAAATGTAAACAAATTGGAGTATCATATTTTATCATAGTATTCCACTTCTGTTACACAGGCTCTTTAGCTTTCAGGTGTTCAAATGATTTCCTATATATATTAATATGCATGTACTGAAAATAGAAGGGAGAAACTAGCAGCATTTGAGAGATCACAGACTCTTCCGTCAGTGGGAAAAATTTAGACTAATAAAAAAGTATTTTACATATAATGGCAATTACTAGAGGTGCACTGATGCATTGGTCCGATATTAGATTAGTATCAATATAAAGAAAATTGGCTACATTGGAAATTGGCCTGAAGTGGCCGATAATTTGGCCAACAAACGCCCGTGTGTGAGCTTAGCTGCAGCACAGCATGCAGGTATTGAGGAGCACAGCTCAGCAGCATGAAGACCTGCATGCAGCTGCTAAGTTTGTTGTGGTGGAAAGGGAGGCGGGGAGGGAGGGAGGTGGGGGTGGAGGCAGATCAACACTCCCCACAGTGAGGGAGAAAGGGGGCAGGGGCAGGCGCAATCTAACCAGGGTGGAGTGAGGCATGGGATGGAGCCCTGGCTTGTCTGGGGATTGAGGAGCACAGCTCAGCAGCATGAAGACCTGCATGCAGCTGCTAAGTTTGTTGTGGTGGAAAGGGAGGCGGGGAGGGAGGGAGGTGGGGGTGGAGGCAGATCAACACTCCCCACAGTGAGGGAGAAAGGGGGCAGGGGCAGGCGCAATCTAACCAGGGTGGAGTGAGGCATGGGATGGAGCCCTGGCTTGTCTGGGGTGGGGGGACGGCTCCTGCCGGGGGCCTACGGCAAAATTTGGGGTGGCTGCAACCCCCTCCATAGCCCCCCTCCCAGCGCCACTGCTGCCCACCCCGAACCCAGCCCCTGCTGAGAAGAGCCCAGCGCAGCCCCAGCTCCAGCCTGCCTGCCCCATGCAGATCCATAGGGTACGCACCCCCTGCATGCCCTCCTGGTGTGTGTCCAGCAACAGGAGCCTCCCCCCCCCGACAAGTCATGGCTCCAACCCCCTTCCCTCCCCCCCCCGACAAGTCATGGCTCCATCCCACTTCCTGCTCCACCCCGGCTGGGCAGTACCTGCCCCTGCCCCCTCCCTCCCTCACTGCAGGGCGTGTTGATCTGCCCCACCATGCCCCTTCCCTCCCCTTCCACCATAACAGACTTACCAGCTGCATATGGTTGTATCAGAAATCAGATCAGTATCAGCCAATATGCCTCTTTAAATATTGGCTATGGGTATCGGCCCCCAACATCTCTATCAGTGCACCCCTAGCAATTACCAAAGAATCTGAATACTGAGATTCTTTACATGAATCCTAGACATATGGCAATTTAATTATGTGCCAATATAAATTTCACTTTTAAACAGCTATCTTCATCTCCATACCCCTGTGTGCGATCCCTAAAAACAGTTGTTTGGAAATAAGCCAAAATCCATGTTTTAAAGTAATAATACAATCACAGTGTCCTTTTCCTCTCATTTGTCTGCTATCCGTTTTAGCAATGTCTTGGTATATTCTGTCTACAAACTAATTCCAAAAGGCATTTTACAATGGGGCCCGGGCCTCTGTTAGTTCTTTGAAACAAAAAAAATTGAGTGTTCCCTTAAATGTTATAAAGAAGTTCTTTTCCTGCTTATATTCAATATTAGAAATTCAGGTCTCGACTGGGAGACTAGTACTACAACATCACAAGAAGCAAGACAGAGAAAACTGAATCAACTACAAGCACATGCCTTCCCTATACTGGTAAAAAAGTGGGTTTCCAAACCACTGTTATCTAATATTTGGGGGGGGGAAGGGAGACACACAAACAAACTATAGGCAGTTTTCCTGAGTTTATTCAGCGTTTCCCAAGTCTAGGTAGAGCTTAAGACAGGGGTGGGCAAAATGCGACCCGCGAGCCAGATGCAGCCCACCAGGCCATTCTATCCAGCCCATGAGGCCCCTAAAAAATTTAGAAAATTAGTATTTATCTGCCCTGGGCTGCCTGTCATGCAGCCCTAAATGGCTTGCCAAAACTCAGTAAGCACCCCTTTGCCCAAAATAATTGCCCACCCCTGACTTAAGATTGTGATGGGGGGGAGGGGAACAATTCTGAAAATGACTTTGCTCCTGCGAGATTTCCTGGTTTTCCACAAAGAAATAGAATTGCAAAAACAAAATCCCGCAAAAAAAACATGGACAGACACTCACAGGTCTCTGAATCTTTATAGCTTCCATATATGCCTGGGGGGAGGGAGGGAAAACAGGTGGTACAGGAAAGGGTCTGCATTTCTGACTGTACCTCCTTCCAAGTGGTTCCTGCTGCTGAGGTAGCTGTTGATGGAAGAGAAGGTACAGAAAAACCTGTGTTTTCAGGAGAACGTATTTACATTGAATTAGATTCCTTAAGTATCCATTTTGACCACTGGGCATCCTAACAATAAAATCTTAAATATAAATCCCTATCATCAGGCATAATTTCCCCTTAGACGCTCTCCAAACTACATGGGCAAACCTACTGACCATTCTGCACACATCCCTTTCCAGTTATATATTTTGCAATCAATGATCTCTCTAAGGAATAGCAGTCCATGAGCACACCGCTTTGGTCTGTGAGCGTGCCACCTCGGTCCAGCATGGGACACTTATCGAAGGGGGCTAGGGCCTAGAGGCCGGGGGCTGGGACCTGGAGGCTGGAGTCGAGAGGCTGGGGGCCGGAGGCTGGAGCTGAGAGGCTGGGAACCAGAGGCTGGGACTGGGGGCCAGAGGCTGAAGCTGGAGCCAGGGGCCAGAGCTGGAGGCTGAGGCTGGAGCAGAGAGGCTGGAGTTAGGGGCCAGGGGCTGGAGGCTGGAGGTGGGGCTGGAGCCGGGGGGCCAGGGGCTGGAGCTGGGGGGCCAGGGACCAGAGCTGGGGGGCCAGGGGCCAGAGCCAGGAGTCAGGGACTGGAGCCAGGGGCTGGCGTGGGCTCCGCCAGCTCTGGGGAAGTGCTCCGCTCCCCTGCATCAGGGCCAGGGAGTGGAGCACTTCCCCGGAGCTGGCAGAGCCTGCGCCAGGCTCCAGCCTCAGCCTCTCCTGGTGCGCAGTCTTGAAAAGGCTGTGCGCGGCCACACTTCTAGTTGTGCACAGTCATGTACCTTAGAGGGAACCTTGGTTGCAATAGTATTTTATTATAATAAGCCATTCCTTTTTTCTCCTATCCAAAACCAGCAACATATAACAAGCAATTTGAAAAAAAATAAAACATGCTCCATATTTATCCTATTAGCCAAAACAGGGTGTGATCAGAACACCTGTCATTTGGAGATGTTAACAACTATAGAATGCTGGCCTTTTCATGACTGCAGGAGAAGTCTACCTTTAGCCTGTAGTTTTTCTGGTGGTGTCATGTCCCATGTGACCACCAAATATTACTTAACTCGGTTTCATGTCTATTTCGTCAGACGAGATATTGAATGCAATTTTTCTTGGCCTCAATTAAATTCTAATTAGAACATACTTAATTCTTCCCTATGTTAATCACAAAAATAAAAAGCCACTATATTACAGACCCCAAGTACAATTATGTTTGATTATATCCATTTTAAGACATTATCTGACAATTTGATTTCTGCCTCTTTCCATCCACCAATACAGCCGAAGTGGGGTAGTCCTTCATTCTGATTGGAAAAAGCACCACCTGTATCAATTTCTTTCTTTTTTTTTTTTTTTGGTGCTATGAAAGTCCTCTTCTGCTCCCCTCAGCCAAAAATTCCATAGCCATTAAAAAAAAACTTAAATTACAAATATAACTGCAAGTTGTGAATTGTCTAAACTATGTTTTATCAATTTATGGCAGGCAACTGTCTTATCCCTTCAGACAAAACATTTAAAAATACTAGATAAGACACTGAAACAGCCAAACCTTTGCTCTACTAAGAATATATTTGTCAGAAGCCTGCAAGCCACCCATACTGCAGTTTTTATCTTCTGCTTTACAGCAGGAAATCATGGATTATTAAGAGATACCATATTAAGACACTGGATGTGTTTTGTACCGGCTGCCTACATACCTAGCCACAAATTAAAATAAAAGAAAGCAGTATCTGTGCAGCAGATACTGAAGTTCTTGAGAAGGCCTAATTAATCAGGCTAAATTTATGTTCATGAAGGAACAATGTCTGTCTGAGGAGAAAGGAAACAATATTTTATTCCCAAATAAACAAATTTAAAAAGCAATGCACATGCTCCAAAAGAAAAACTTAAAAGTGTTATGCTAGACAACTGAAAGGGAAAAAATATCTCCATATAACATCCTAGGAGAAAACAATATGAGGGACAGTAGTGCATCTGGTAAAGAAAAGCAGCATCCTGAAAGTACCAACAAACACCAGACCATAAATGGCTGCGTGTGACCCTCATAATAGCAGTGATAGAGCAAATTAACACTCTCACACTTCTTTGGAAATGTTATGTCCTAATACCATCAACACCTAAGATTATAGGACTGAAGAAGAAGAAAGCAACGGCCCATATTTTCTGGGTTGTTTATTTTCAACATTTGTCATTACTTTGTGATTATTATGGAAACAAAGGACAGAAGATCCATTTTAAAAGATTAAGTAAATGTTTCTGTATAACCATATAAATCCAGAATTGGGCTTGTAGTCTCTTTAAAGATCACTTCCTACAAAAGTTATGGTGATTTGCCTTCTAAATAGAAACAAATTAAGACATATTCACCAGTGTACACTCACATAATCAAGTGCATTCTTTTTTGTTTGGGGTTCGAGGGATGGGGTTGTTTGTATTAACAGTCCTAGGAAGTTTCAAACAGATTAACAATAGGATAACCTGACTGTTGGAATCTGCTGCTACAAAACCTATGTATTTATAAAACAAAACCTATTAGAAAACCAACCAAATGAAACTAAAACTTACCGATGGCTTCCATCCAGGTTTGATTTGTGGATGAAGTTCAGTTTAGCATCTGCCCAATAAAGCTTCCGTTCTTCATAATCCAAAGTCAATCCATTCGGCCAATAAATGTCTGTGTTGATTATAACAGAGCGGCTTGAACCATCCATTCCAGCACGTTCTATCTTTGGCACTTCCCCCCAGTCTGTCCAGTACATGAACCTATAATTATTTTTAAAAAGAGAGACAAAATAATGTACAAATCTATACTCAGATGATTCAAGGCATCTTCCAGTCATCGTGATGGTTTAACTGTCATTTCCTCTGCAAGAGGCACTGCCTCTATACCAGAGTCTACTGGGAAACCTACGGTACGGTCTACAAGACAGAAATAAACTTTCCTTCAGGTTTTTCCAAATACATAATACCATTTCCCCATTTCATCTCTTCCTTAACATGAGGTGTAATGCTTGGGGAATTCTACAGACCTTGTCTATAACCTAATTTTGTGGACAGAAGAAGAGTGAGCAGTTTTAAAATTATAGCATTTTAGAGCTGACCCATTGTACCAAGTTTCTTTCAGGTTTAAAGTTACTGCAGATTGACTGCATTTACCAGTACAGGAATGGACAAACAAGAAAAAAAGAGTTACATTGGTTCAGATGACACATTCTTAAGTAGTAATGTCACTCCTCCCCTCCTCTAAAACTGGGTTAGCATTACACCTGTCCACAACCCTAACGCAGCTCAAAAAGAAGCAAGAGATTGCAAAAGTGGAAAGGAAGAACAGAGGAGATTTGCAGGTTCACACCAATTGCAGGAAGCATTAAATGGATTTGATGGAGGATAGATTTGTATTGGGAGACTGGTTTGTAATCAGGCGGGTTTTTCGGAAGGCTTCCAGGCAACATGTATGAACACAGGATTTACCTTGTCTATATTGGAGGTAAAACCTTGATTAAAATCACATGAAAAGCACTGTTTAAGATTGGGGAACAGAGGTTTAAAAATGTGTCAGTAGGTGTTAACCACTTAGCAGTTAATGCAGACAAATACTTTTAAAATATGTTATCAAGTCATAATTAATCTACGAGAGGAACCTAGGAAAGTCAGTGAGGCCCGACTATGTGAGTTTCCCTCATGTAGGACGGAAAAAGTATAATCAGAATTCCTCTTCCTGATGGTAAGAGGAAACAGATCAATTTTCTGGTACCACGACTCAAGACTAGACAGGCTTTGCCCGTAAAAGGAATAAAAAATGGGGTAAGAACTTAAAACAGGTGGATAAGAAAGTCAGGCTAAATTGTGTCAGTGAAGGAAAGCTGCAGCTCTTGGACCCTTGCAGCACAGAGCTGAAACTGGTCACTGTATGGCATCCACATGTGAGAACAGGACCTGGCCACCCATGATTTAAACAAAAGCAGACTGACAACACATTTAACAAACATTTGCAGATGAAATTATTCTTGGCAGAGAATTATTTTTCACAACCACAACAATAAAAATGTCAGGAAACTCCAAGACAGATTTTTATTCTTAATCCATGTCTTCAAATTCAAATGTCTGTTTTATACAATGCAGTATCTGGAGATGGAAATGAAACATAACAAACACAAATATTGCCCAATTCCACCTCAAATGAATCATTCTTTTAAGAAGTGATTTTTCTATCTTAAACTCAAACTTGGATACTGCACATAGGTTTCAAGAGAGAATGTGTGATGTTTCTATAGATATATATGAACACTGTGAAGGAATTATTTATCTGTTTCGGGGGGAAGGGAAAGAAAAAAGAAATCCAAATTTATTTACAAGAAAAAAATTGTTAAACAGCACCTTAGACAGGTCATCTGTCCAAGCTATCTGACATCTGGCCAAACTACAAACTTAAAGACATTCTAGCAATATTTCTGCACAGACAGATAAAAATAATTCAACTTTGTTTGAAAACAACACCCCTCTGCAGTCAAGTCAAATATTTTTTCAAAGGTTAATAGTTTTAAGGTGTACTGGGGCACCCTGTCTGTCTGACCCTTCAGATGGAAAAAAGTTAGCTCATTAGCTGCTAAAACAAGCCTCATTTTCTTTTTAACTCTTTCTCACCTTTTATATAAATTTACATTGTACCGCTTCAGGCAAAACCAGGTAAGGAAGCCTCAGTAGACAAACTTTCCCACATTGCAAACCACTACAATTCAATTGCCAAAGCAACACATATGCACATGGAGTTCAGTTTAAGAGTCTCTACAATCCCAACTCAATTCCCTCAACCACTGTTCAGTTTCTCCAAGACTGCTTCCCCCCCTCCCTTCATCTGTTTCTTTCATATAGTCAGGGAGCTTGCCTATTTTAGCCCCAGTGAAGCTCCTTGAAACCAACAAGTCCACTGCTCCAAAGGACAGCAGTAAAACAATACTCAGGGCTGTGCTTCATTTAGAAATAAGGGCTCTTTCTCACTACCAAAAGTAAAAGGAAGGCCCAGGGAGGAATAGGACCCCTGCTAAATGGGCAGAAACAATTGGTGACGGACAGGGGGGACAAGGCTGAACTCAACGAGTTCTTTGCCTCAGTGTTCCTAAGCGAGGGGCACGACAAGTCTCTCACTGGGGTTGTAGAGATGCAGCAGCAAGGCGCCAGACTTCCACGCGTAGACCCTGAGATGGTGCAGAGTCACTTGGAAGAACTGGATGCCTTTAAGTCGGCAGGCCCGGATGAGCTCCATCTGAGGGTGCTGAAGGCACTGGCCGACATCATTGCAGAGCCACTGCCGGGAATATTTGAACGCTCGTGGTGCACAGACCAAGTCCCGGAGGACTGGAAAAGGGCCAATGTGGTCCCCATTTTCAAGAAGGGGAGGAAGGAGGACCCGGGCAACTATAGGCCAGTCAGTCTCACCTCCATCCTTGGCAAAATCTTTGAAAAAAT